ATGGGGTGATTGCCTGAGGACTATGTGAGTATGTGTCCTCTGTGGCAATCAGAAATAGGCATTTAATGTATATTGCTGTATATTGCTGTAGCATTTCAATTCATCTTTGCGCCCTTTGAAGTGTTGAACATCCATAGATAATAACATGACAAACTGGATATGATATAAATTCAAATGATAATTATTGATATTAATTATATATATATACACACCATATTACAACGATGTATGCATATATATATGTATGATAATATGTATGTATAAAGATATCCAAGATATCCACCATATAATATATCATAATGATATATAATATATCCATTTGTAACTCCAATCTGCCAAGCCACACGTGTTGCAAGGCCCCATCCACCATGAGCTGTTGGGCCTCGGCACCCTTCGAGCTGGCAACCAGCAGTGCCTCAAACCGGGCTGAGGACACGCTGGGGGTGGCTGGGGTTGGGGACCATGTATCAAGAATGATTCAAGAATGATTCAACAATGATGGGAATGTGACATGGCATGATGCCATCGACTGCCTAGCATTGACAAATGCATACAAATGCCATATAGTACGGAAACAACTCTGCAAGATATACATGTGCGTGGTGATGTAGTGCAAAAATATGAAACACATATTAGTGTGATTTCAACAATTGAGAACCGACTCATCCACAGATTGTGGTCTTAAATCTAGGTCACCGTAGGCTGATTGCAAAACAACTGGAAAATGCTGGAAGCACCCAACCCTCCCACAATCATTCGGGCATGGTTTAATCGTACACTCGTGCAGGCTGCCCAATGGATTCAAATGATGCATCCACCAGCCACTGGCCCTGCCGTGCCTGCAGTCTAATCCACGTGCATACGTTCTTCAAGCAAAATAAAAAGTTCCTTTCAACAATATTTAAGAATATATTAAAGTATTTAAGAATACCTACACATCAACTCCTGGACTGAACTACAACTCTATATAGGCCATTTTGAACTACAACATCAGCGGACTTAAGGTGCTAAAGCGACCTAAAAGAAATGTGGGCCCACACTTACAGAAGTATAATCAAAGATGAACATGCAGTGCAGCAAATCTGGTGCTTCAGCTAAGGTGCATGATGCACTTTGTGGGAGCTTTCCCAGAATTCTTCACATCGAGCTGGATCTTCCTGCAGCTCCCAGATCTGAATTGCCTTGGCACAGGGTGGCATGCCCCCTGGAAAATCTGAATCAATCTGCGGCTTCCTTTGACATCCTCAGCCTGTGCTGAGTTTTTTTTAGGTATTCTAGCACCTCCCCAAGATGTGCTATACAAAATTCAACGGCACATATTCTTAGACATAATCTGATATCATAATCTTCTTTATCTGTCAAAACATTCAAAGTCTACCAACGTTGTGTACACCCAACCATTCAATCCAGTTGCACTGCCGACTCCTGCGCCGCATGAAGAATAGCTCTTGCAGGCCATGCCATCCACAGCAAAGAATCTGCATGCAAAGGTCTGTCGACAAATCTCTGCACAAGCCTTGCGACTCATCGAAGCAATAGGGCCAGAGGACTGAGGAAAAGTAGCCTCTTCGATCAGGACGGGATTGTCACCTGGTTGGTGGTTTCACTCTGAAGATGTTCTCCGTCATTTGCGTCTAATCATGATTTTTCCGGGGACAAAGCGCACAAATGCATGAAGAAATGCGTAAAAATTGTTTCCAAGCTGCAGTTTGCCAAGAGAAACTCATCCAAAGGGGATGTGTCATCTATACACTGCCGGTATGGCCCAGGGCAGCGCTCCTGTGTCTCAGCTGGTACGCCAGTCAGAAGCAGGGCTGCTGACCAGCTGGGACCTATCCATCTATACATGGTGGAGCCCGGGCTGCTGAGCAGAAACGAATGATCCAGTCGACCTGCTTCCCATTTATGGATATGCATGTGTATAATATATTTATTCATTGGTCATTCATGTGTTTCTTTATTTAGTATGTTATCTATTATTGGACATAACATGGCACACATATGAAACTATATGTCGCTATATGCATAAATATTATATGTACACGTATGGTATCGGTATAGATATATAAGAGAATGTCCTACCATGTCCTACCACGGCTAACCACATCACTTGATCGGCTGCATGTCATCTGCTGTCAGTTGGATGGACCTTCATGCTCCTGCCAAACCTCGACGTGACACTGAGCTGTGAAAAATGAAGGAAAACCAAACCATTCACTACATATCTACATCCAATGATCAGGTCCTCATGAATGTGTCCCCCATCAAGTTCCTCCAAGAACTTGTCCAAACTCAACCTCAATCAACGATCTTCAAACTTTGCGAACGTTCGACAGAACATGGGTGGATGCTTCGAGGTCAACAAATATAACAAATGTCAACAAGTTGAGGGCATCACACCACGTGCATAGATTTCCAACTCTGGATAAGTCAACGTTTCCGCCTTACACAGAAATCATCGTAGATCAGCATAGTTCAGGGGTACAAATAGGGATAGTACTGTATACCGCAAAGCTACGGTGCCTGATTTGTTGCCTGACTGTGCAGGTTTTCCTAGCTCAAATTCCCTCAGAGTGTCACCACGGGTCACCATAATTACCCAAGGTGAGCGGCATCTTCTCCAAATGCTCGTCATACAGCACAAACGCGCCAGCCTTGGAAGGGCGAACTGGCAGAGATGAGCTGAGAAATTTCCGTCCTGTGTGTCCTGTGGGTTTAGGTCTGCCCAAGTCCAACTAACCCTGCTTGAATGCTCTGCAGCACTGCATCAGCATCAGCATAACCACCACTACCAGCATCAGCATCAGCATGATCATGATCATGATCATCATCATCATCATCAAGAACAAGAACAAGAACGACAAAGAACAAAAACGACAAAGACCAACAACGACAAACAAAGACCAACAACGACAAACAAAGACCAACAACGACAAAGACCAACAACGACAAAGACCAACAACGACAAAGACCAACAACGACAAAGACCAACAACGACAAAGACCAACAACAACAAAGACCAACAACAACAAAGACCAACAACAACAAAGACCAACAACAACAAAGACCAACAACAACAAAGACCAACAACAACAAAGACCAACAACAACAAAGACCAACAACAACAAAGACCAACAACAACAAAGACCAACAAACAACCAACAACCACACCACCACCACCGCCACCACCACCACCACCACCACCAAAACACCCAAGTACACTGGCCCATATTTATTGCCATCTCATTTCATGCACATCCTCCACAGCAAACTTTGTGCGGCTGACTGCTGGTATATACAGCTGGGATCTGCACCACAGTAAGGGACTCATGGGCCAGGCCACGCCCTGACCATGTAATTACTGGGATTTTCCAGTGCTGAGTGTTCAGAATGGTGCAATGTGTCAGTGTGTCGCTGAAAATTGTTTAGACCCCCATAAACATCCAAAATCCACCTGAAGCTAGATGCAAAGATATGCAAAGCCACCAATGATCATCTAGCACCCTTTGTCGTGATCACCTGATCACGGCAACCCATCACAATCCCTCCCGCCTATCCGGACTAAAGCGGCAATCAAGTGCATCTCATCGTAGGGGCGTAAGGGAGCAATCTGGAGCAAGACTTCAGTGGATAAGCGCGCTTCCGAGGAGCAGTGCCAAGCATTTTCCCATAATTAAAGCTTCATTCTCACTAACTTATAGTTTCTTGGAGTTTCATGGAGTTTCCAACAGCTATGTTGCTGATGTTGACTTCAAGCCATCTGCCCCACCTCCCCGGTGTAGATCTCCAACGACTGCTGCGAACCACTGCGGCTTGGGATGGGAAGCGTCATCGAGCCTGCCACCAACAGCTTGACTTTGTAGCAGGGTAGCCATACATCAACATGGAGCACAATGGTCCTTGAATGCAAGTCTCGTTTCACATGTTCTGACCAAAAATCTGAAGATTCTTCCGGTATAAGTTGTGGTGTTGAGCATGTATGTTGCAAATCAACGTGGTCATGGTAACATCTCATGTCGTGGAGGCCAAAGAATTTCTCCATGCCGTTTTATTTAAGCTATATATATATATGTTATATAAGCTACGATTTAACATCATTTAACTATGTGCAATCCCTGGCTGACACTGGAGGTCAGCGATGAGTAGTTAGGAGGCCTGCCCACTGTGGAGCCAAAATGTTCAAGATAGATTGATGATTGAGACGAGGCATGCAAACCCTTCAGCTGCATGCTCCTGTAAATTGGTCCAGCCTTGCCCGAGATTGGCAAAGTAGGCAGGAGACCTCAACTGCGTCCAATTTTCTTTTTGGTTGGCTTTGGCACACTGTGTGGGTCAAAATGGTCAAAGCAGAGCAGCTTCGGAAGAAACGTAGAATCAGAAGGAACCGGATCAAAGGAGCAAAGCGACAACAAAAAGTCACTGGAGCTAGTGAACTAGTGCCGTGCAATCCAAAGCTAACAATGACATTGTCAGGTCATGAACGAAGACGAGTCTCCGACCCATGCCTTTCTGAAAACCCTTTCAACCCCTGAATCATTCAAACTCGGGTCCTGAACCACACCTACAGCATCCTCTCGAGGTTCCAACGCTGAAGTGGGTGACACCGGGGGTCGTGAATGCCGACGTCCTGACTAAGCTCCAGAAAATTACTTTTTAAATTTTCATTATTAATTATTATTATTGTTACTTATTATTTATTTATATATACATATATATATAATATTGATCTGCAAATGGCAGTAGTCAACATCCAGGACAGATCGGTGTTCCCACGGAATTGGTCATGAGATGTCTTGGCGTTCCTTCATGGGATGACATCATTGGCAATCCATGGGCCACCCTGTGAGATTCCAAACCAGTGGCTACAATTTCTACAATGGGTGTTCACCTAGCCATTTGATGCCATTTGCACCAATCACGTTATAGTCGGTCTGCACACGGAACCCGTCTGTCGTGCCTAAAACCGGCGATGCCGTGGGAGCGGTCCTTAGTGGCAACTCATTGATGACGCGGGCAACTGACACAGCTAAAGAAAATAAATCAGGGTGAATGAGATAAACGAGATAGATGCAGATGGTGGAAGTTGATTATACTATTATACCTATCAGCAGAATTTACTGTATCTTTTAAATCTCCGCATACAAATAATACATACCCCCAGGTCCACTTCCTGGCAACTCCTGATAATCTATATGGCTAGCCAGAAAGAAACCAGGTAAACAGGCAGGCCTCCTGTCTGTGGTACATGTTCAAAAGTCACGCGAACTCTGATTCTTTGCTGACCAAAGTTTCAATGGGTACAATTACCTCAAATTCCTCAAAGAAACCTGGAAAAAGCAAGCGGTAGGCCATCCTGCTACTTTTATCTACAGTACTTTTCACATGGATGTGTTGGGAGAGAGCAGGAACCTTGATGCATTTTTCTGTCCAATAATTACTCGGCCATTCAAAGCCCAAAGGAAACGCAGACCTGCAAAGACCTGATGAATCCTTTGGCATGATCATGCATGTGACAATGTGGAAACGACAAAGCTCTGCCATGGCTTTTTGCTGGCGAAATTGAATTGAACAAAATGTTTGCTGCTGGCCTTGAATGCAAGTTCCATGATTGCCTGTTTTGCCACGCAGCCCCTAATATTATCCATGTAGAATAAATAATTATAATTATATACATAGTATTACATACGTATTTATATCATGTTATTTTATACCTATATCCCTGCTAAACCTGAAACCTAAGAATTTCTAGGCAAAACTGAATAATTAACTAGTTATTTGCCATTTGCCCTAGAAATTCTTAGGGCGCCCTAAGAATATGCGTTCAAAACCCGTGCAAAATGCGTTCAGAATGAGTTCGCTGCCCGTTCGCAAATGCAACAACATGTTGCCTTTTGTTTCTTTCATAGTTGCCCTACGAATAAGCGTTCAGACCTAACTTTTTGCGTTCGTACTAGAAATGAGGCGAAATGAACCCGAATAGCTAGTTATTACAATTTGCATTAGGAATTTTTAGGTTTGATGTTTACCAGGTCAGTGTTATGGAGTTCACAAGAGCTTCCATTCCAAGCGGGCTGGACTAGGACCCACCATCTTTACCTCAGAGATGCTACGCCGTTTCAGCAATGTCTTTGTCCCGTTGATTTGTCAGTCCGACTTAGGCCCTAACGCAGGGCGGTCGGCCAATGAGTCAGGATAGGGT